CCCCCCCCCCGCAAAGACTTTCCTTCTCAATACCTCAGTGTGGTAGCATGATCACTCATTGGCCTGACCAGGGCACATGGACACTGCACATGCTATGGAACAAATGACAGTGTCCAAAAGTGGAATATGTAGGCATGTGTGGGAAGAGGGACAAGAGTGATGGAGAGCAACCCAGACTTAAAGGGAAGGTCATGATTTCAGACAAAGAGGAACACGTACTGGGCAGTCCACAACCACGACTACCGCACGCACTTGGTCAGGGAAATTCAAATTGTGAGGCATGGAATTGGGATTCTACTCCTAACCTCATCAGTCCTACTATAAACCCTCAGAAACAGGGGCACTGAACTGTGATGTCATATTGTCTCTGCATTCACTTACTGTGTGTTGAATGCAAACCTCCCAGGAGTTTATAGCTCTGAAGTTGTAGTAGAAGCATAAATAACATATGTGAGTGTCATTCTATCCAGTGTGTCAGGTCCTGTGAACAAGGTGCTCACGGATGAAAAGGAAAAGAGACAAGAAAAACAAGAGAGGCAAAAAATTCTGGGATCAGGGGCATACAGCCTTTTGGACTGCAGCCTCAAATACCAATTTCAGTCACCTTTTATTGAGTGAGAACCTAGGGCATAGCTAGTACTAATGGGTGGATACAAAACGTTTTAGCAAGGATAATCAAAGGATTATCGTTTCCACATGTAATCCAAGACACGCCTGTAATCCCAGCATCCAAGACACGCCTATAATCCCAGCACTCAAGAGGCTAAGACAGGAGGATCATAAACTCAAGGTTAAATAAATCATTGTGTCCTTAATGCATTCTAATCAAAGAATGTCCTTCTCTGCATGTGAGAAATAATCAATTTCAGAATTGTGTAGTGTAGTTCTGCTGGGAACTTAAAAGAGGGTAGAGATTTATAAACAGAAGAGACTTGCACAGCTTATTAGTACTATTCAAGAGAGAAGTGTTTTTCAGGGAGTCATGGGTTGTAGAATTTGCTACCCTAAATGTTGATATGCGTCACTCTCTCTCCATAGTTCCAGACCACGTTCAGAACTTCCTCCCACACATGGCCCAGGCAGAGGGAAAGCTCAGAGAAGAAAGGGAAGCTGCTCTCCTGGTTGTTTCAATGCTGAAAATTTGACAGGCCCTGAGCAAAGTTTTACAAATAGTGACTGTGCTTTGTCTTCATTGAACACGGTGAGATCATGAGGCTTCCTTGTCACCTACAAAGAAGAGCGAGAGCTTCTCCACTTCACTTCTAAGCATCATTTCCCTGGCATGAGCTCGTGTTTCTGTCACAGCCCAGGTACATGGTCACCGTGCAGTTGAGGCCTTGTGGGTCCCTACGCTTCCCAGGCAGATCACAGGGATTTGGTCACATGGGGTCACAGGAGGGTTTTTCAATCCAGTCCTGCCTTTGCTGTCTTGAAGCAGTATTTCCTTAAATGGCCTACCTGCTTTTACCCCTCCATCCAAGCCCCAAAACAGGTCTTTACAGTCTGGTTTATTAAGTGTGCCAAATAAATCATGTGTTTAGGACAGTGGATGAGTCCATCAGCTTCATGTGGAAATGATCACAGTTCATATCATTTTATTTCTGCATTAGAATTGCCGTGATAACCCACGCATCTGGACAGACCTCACCCTGTACGTAGCCCTGTCTAATCATGCCCACATCCAGTCAGCCCTGCCTGCAAACAGACCCCAACCCACCCTTGCATGTGAGCTCCATTGCCTGCAGCCCTGGTCCTCGCAGTCATGGTCTCCCCTCTGCACTCTGGCAGGAGCTTCCTAGTGGTCACCCTGCTCCGCTCCTTCCTCCCGGGAGCGTTCTCATGGTATGTGGCCACAGTTTGGAGCCAGGAACCTTCCCACTGTGTTCACTGGACTTGGGATTCCTTCTTAGGGCTGTGGTCCTGCTATAAGCTCCATGTTGGACCTTACCTTCTGTGAAACATCTGCTGCCCTAGATCTGCAAATCCAGAGTCATTGCTCATGGCTACAGGAACTTGAGTTTCATGCAATTTCTACATCTCCTGAAAAAGTGTTATTGGATTTTTTTCAACCACTTAAAAAAAGAAAAGCCATTCTTAGTTCACAAGCCGAACAAAAGCAGGGAGCAGGCAGGGTTGGCCCTTGGACGTCATTTGCTGCCGGAGCTTTAGGAGGCAGGGTTTTGTGCCGACTTCTTTGCTGTTGAGTCTCTAGTGCCTAGCGTGGTGCCTGACTCGTGTTACTGAGCGAGTGCTGGTGAGTGTGATCTGTGTGTACACAAGTAGGCTGGAGGACACTTTGGCTGTCTTTGGCAAATGCAGGTCATTGTTGTGCTAGATCCTGCCCACTGAAAGCATGAAAGGGACAGTTTGTGCCAAAGCATTTCTCCCCATTAACGTGGGAATTGAATCCAGAGTCCTGAGCATGCTAGGCAAGCACTCTGCCTGTGAGATGGATTCTGGCCCTTTGCTGAAAATTTTATTTTGAGACCAGGCATTCCTAAGTTGCCAAGGCTGCCCTAGAATTTCTGATCTTCCTGCCTCAGGCTCCTCAGTAGCTGGGATTATAGGCATGTGCCACTGTGCTTGGCTGTGACAGACATTTTTGCCCTTTGCGTTTCAATATTTTAATGGAACATTCATTGTTCCCTGTGTAGTCTTATCACAACTTTTTGGAGGACTGCCCTAAAATAGATTTCTCACTTGGTACTTTCTGTAGGTTGATGCCTCATGTGGGATGAATAAGGCAGATTCAGAAGAAGCAGGCAGTTCAGAAGAGAACTCCCAAGACATTTTGGAGGACAGTTCAGAGTCCCAGGGCAAGGTTGACAGCATTGCCTGGGACGTCACCAGGGATGACATGAAGCTTCCTAACTCAGAAGGTAGAAGAAGCAAGATTGAAGTTTGGGACAGTGGAGCAACTAACAACAAGAAACAGTGAAATAAATTATATAAAGAGAAACAGGTGATTCATATCTGCTCATTCTGTGAAAAAGATTGCAGTTTTGGGTGTTTTGCATTTTTTGTATCTACAGTGCCTCTATTCTGTTAAAACAAAAACTTTAGACCAATCTAACTAACAGTTTGGGCAGTTGGGCAGCATTCACCATAGAAAGGGGTTCAGACATTTACTGTGTCTTGAAAAGTAAAATATTTTATAGCTGAACAGAGACACGAAGTGCAGAAATAACGTGATGAATCCCGGCGAGGCCTTCGCCTAGGCGCAGATGGTCTGGAACGCGAGGCCTGAGCTGGCCGAGGCTCAGTGTTTGTGTGTGGCTGAAACCCAGCTATTTGTCCCCAAAATACACTCCTATTTCCACTGTTTAAGACTTTTTCTTTGTGAGTCAAGTTGTGAACTGTAATTATACTTCCTTTTCTAAGTTTACCATGGGAGGGGGACTCTAGTTTTTCTTTCTTTTTCCTCCCATATTTCTTAAGGATGTCCAGAGGACCTGTACTTCCTTCTGTCCCTTCACTGCAGAGGAAGCCTTGTTGTAGTGTAGGAGACACCAAGGCAGAAGTGAAGCACTGCACTCTTCCACACAAGTGTCTACTTCTGAACAGATGAGTGTCTCTCACAGAGCAGTCTCTCTGTGGTTATTTCAGTATTTCCTGTGAAGGGAACCTCTCAATCCCCACTCAGAACAGCCCATCCTGGTGTAAGTGTCCCATCCACTCCCCCATTACTCTCCAACCTTACTCGGCATCCCTGAGCCCCACAGTCTGCTCCCAGGGAAGCAGACAAATGAACCCCTCCCGAAATGCAGCAGGACATCCAGGGGGAGCAGTCTGGAAGTCCTCGTCACAGATGTGTTTGGCACTGCTGCCAAGGAACATTCAGGGACAAGGCCCTGTGCCTGGGAAGAAGCTGCTGCCCCTCTAAATGACCTAGAGCAGCCCTGAAGCTGAAGTCCCTTCTAGAGAGACCCAGGAGCCGACAATGATATGTGGCCACTCTTCCAGTGGGCCAGGAGTCTGCCTGCTGCCTCGGGTCTCACTGAAGCACTGAGATCTCTCCCCTGAGAGAAAGCAGCACCTGACTCCCTGTTCTGTGCCATGGTTTGGCCAGCAGCTGTCACATCTCCCCCAAGTGGCCTGGGACACTGGCTTCAGTGTTCTCCCTGGTTGTCTAGATCCCAGTCTCCTCTAGGCCACTTGGATGTGAGTCCAGCTCAAATGTCAGCATGGTGTCTTAATGAGTTAATATTATCCCTTAGCTATTGTGGACTGACCAGGCCCACAACCTCCTAAAAGAATGGATGGCAAAGGCTTAAATAAAAGAGTCAAGTGGTATGATTTTAGGGCTCCAGGAGGATCAAAACCCTCTAACAGAATTCAAGATACTCTGGGGGTTGAGACAAAGATTTTCTCTGGGTGGCCCATATCTATTTAGTTATCAAAACAAGGGAGGGGAGTACTGAAGAAAGGTGGAACCCTTCAAGGACTTCTCCAAGTAATACGTTATTAATTTAGGGGAACTATGCTATCTCCAGGAAGGTCTCCAACCTGGAGTGAGATGCCTGCAGCTACAGTCTTTGTCTAGTTAATTGAGGTTGGAGCCAGGTGTCCTTAGCTGTGGTCTTGCCTTGTCCTTTGAGGTGTCCTGGCTTTACTGCCCATTACAGCTCTCAGCAGGGACCAGTGACTCATGGGAGGTTCACTTATGAGTCCACCACCCATCTCCCATCTCCAGACAAGGGCCTAGGCCTTGGTCAGGGTCACAAGTAAACACGGAAAGCCATTTGGTTAATATTAAATCCTGCTCAGAGCCGCTTCGCAGTGGTCTCCATCAGTGCCTGTCCTGGGTTCCTGACACTCAGACCCTGTTGCTGCCTTTTGTAGAAAGGGTTTGGGGTACTGTGGTGTGGCTCGGATCAGGGAGGGAGGAGCCTGGGCTCAGTGTTCTTATCCCAGTTCTCTCCGAGTCCCAGTAAGCTATAATGAGCACAGCCAGCCCTGCCCAAGACTCACCAATCCCCTGGTTTCATCTTGTAATTTTTTACAGATGAGCCAGCTGCCAATCAAATGGTCTCATAGATCACTGACATGACAGCCGTCAATTAAACAGGTCTCTTGCCACCAGGACAGCTGAGCTGTCTAGACCCCCACACATGCTTGGACCAATCAGCAAGCCTGAGTAGGAACCAGTCACAGGCCTGCAGATGCTATATAAGCAGTACTACCCTCACAGTTCTGGGGTGAATATAGAGGTTCCCTCTCATGTGCCAACCCCCCTTGCTGTAGCACAGCTTATGGTAAAGACTCGCTCTGGTGGTCTCGTAACCTGCCCATGATTGATTTCTTGGATTTTGTGGGGTCAAAAAATCTTGTAAACCTACTCAGGATTCTTGTCCTGAGAAGCATGGACAGATTGGTCTCTTTAAAAAAAGGAGCAATAAACACAGGAGCAATTAGCCAAAAAGACCCGGAGTCCAGCAGCCAGCGAAAGTCAGTGACAAGGAGCAGCAAGCGGCCAAATCTCCCTACAGCATCTAGAACAAGCCAGCATCGCACCACGGTGGAAGAGACCGGCAGCTGACTCCGTCAACTGACGGCATCCAGCAGTGTCACTAGCAGATCTGTACTGTGCCACGTCCTGGTTTCTGTCTTAATGGAGAAAAGAACCCTGAACTAACTGGCAACAAAGCATTCCTGTCCATAAGGTTTGAACTCCTGTATATGAAGCATCATGACCTTCAAATGAACATGCTCAGGAATACTCTGCCTCTATAGCATCGACAAGCCCCTCTCCGTGGAACATCGTTGTGAGTGGCTAGAACTGGAAATTGGTCATATGTGTGAGGGCAGGATAGAGCCAGAGTGCCTCAAGCAGTCAAGGTACCTCAGTCTTGAGAAAAAACATCCTGCCTGGACAATTGCAGTCATTAGTTGCTAGGCAACATTGCCTCTCATGATACTTTGCAAGGGTATAAATTAACATTCCTACTATTGTTGTGCAGTCCTCTAGACCTCTGAAGTAAAGAGGCTACTCCACCTGACCCAACCTTTGTTTCTTGGGTTTATTTTCCTCATACCCACCTCTGTTCCTTCCCAGGGTACACCGAGAGGCCAACAAGTTCCCTACAAACATAGGCAGGTCTCTCCAGTATCAGCCTCTCCTCCTGTGCTTGGAGACATTACTCTGGGAGACACCCCTGCTTGTGCTCTGTAAGTCATGAACCTTTCCTTATGCTTGGTCTCCTGGTTGTGCTTACAGGCTTTGCACTAACCAGGGGCAAAACTGTTGCTTCCATGTTGTGGTGCACTAACAACTGGTGGTCAACTTGTAACACCCGGCTGAACTGAATCAGTGTGGTGTTGATGTGGAAGGCCCACCTGAGGATCACTGCCAACAAAATAAAAAGAATTGGAGAGGAAGAAGTAGGCTATTGGGGGCTGTTGGTTCTCCTGGAGGAGCTTGTCATGCTGGCTTTCCTGATAAACTCAACTGTTCTCATTGTCCAAGGAGCTCCAGACCTGCCAAGAATGGCTATGGGCTCTGGTCCTCACTTTGAGCATCACTTCCTGGCTCTGGAGGGAAAGATGGTGCACCGTTCAATGTTCTGGAGAAGTCTGTCATGTTGGCTTTCCTGATATGGACTCAGCTGTTCTCGTTATTGGAGGAGCTTGGGACCTTGCTGTTGCTGAGAATGGCTGTGGTACTTTTTGGGGGAGCTCTGGTTTTTACTTTGAGTGTTGCTTTTTGACTCCAGTGCAGTTCCCTCAGCCTGCTGGCACAGATCCTTCATTCTGCTGGCACAGACTTTCTAGCTTCCACCGATAACCTTGGGCCTTCCCAGTGCAGATTCATAAAACAGACCTACATGAGGCATTGTCATGGGCTCTAGGCCTCCAGCTGGACTCATGAGGGGCTTTGTTATGGGTTCTAGGTCTTCATCTGGACTCATACAGGACATTGCTGTGGGATCCAGACCCTCAGCTGGATTCTTTGGGTCTTAATGTGTGGGCAGATTTCCTGCGCTTTTTTCTTTTTCCAGTATCGGGAATCAAACTGAGAACCTCGTGCTTGCCAGGCAGGCACTGTGCTGCTGAGCTAAATCCCCAGCCCCTCCTGCACTCTTTTGAACTTGACTCTTCGGGTGACTATTATAAAATAATCCTGTAAATTGTATGTTCTGTATTGTATTGTTTTCCTTGCACACCCTGACCACAACACATGTGTGCTGTGGTGACCCAAACAGGAAGCCCTTTTCCTAGAAAGCTCAGGAATTTCCTCAGTCGCAAACAGCAGCAGTGGCGGCTCCCTAGTCTTGCCCTCCTACGCTGCCGAGGGGTGCCAGGGCAGGCAGGGATGCTCCCTCCTACAGCCTAATGCGCCAGCCCTCCACCGCCTTCATGCTTTGCAAACTCAGCATTCATGTGATGAGCTGTGCTTGGTCATCAAGTTGGGTAACAGAGTCCCGATAACCAGGGTGGCTGGGGGATTGCATGACACCTGTCCCAGATGATGCTGAGGTAGAAGAACAATGCCCAACACTTCCCTTTGATGTGGCCCAGGGAGATCAGCACTAGCGCCTTCCTGTCTCCATGGAGGCTGCCCAGGCAGCTGCACTCGCAGCAGGAATGTCTCTCATCTCTTCTGGGCCTCAATGGGGGACTTGGAGGGAGGTCCATGCATGTAAGGAGTAATTTGGGGAGGGGCCGGGACCACTGCCTTTATCCTTGAAATCCACGGACCCCAACAGGCCAAGGTCACCAGTGACACCTCTCATGGGGGCCCCCTCCAGAAGTTTCTATAGAAATGGGTGGGGCTATCAACCAAGCAACTGCTTCTCCTGCCCTTGGTTACAGTTGTGCCATGAGGGCTGAGGCTGCCCCAGCTGCACCTCTGTCATGCTCTCGGGGAGATACATCCCTCAGCACAAGCTCCTGGCTCTGCCCTGTAACCTCTGTGGAAGACCCCGCCTTCCTCAGTCGCTGCTCGGAGAATCCCAGAACAGAGCTACAAAATGCAGGGAATTAC